AAATAGTATAATTTAAAAATATATATGAATTAAAATAAAAATATAAATTAAAATAAGATATATACAAATTTAATAAATCAGTTTTTATAATTTAGTTAGATTAAATTTTATAAACTTTAAAAATAATTTAAAAAGCTAGGTTATTAAATTATTTTTAAAAATTTTATATTATAAAAACTGATTTATTAAATTTGTATATAGATATAAAGCTATAAAAACTATATATATAAAATTATTTTAACTTATATATATTATTATATTATACTATTTTATTAACTATATAAAACTAATACATACGTAATTTTGTTTCTAAACTTTTAATTTTCATTTCTTTTTCTAATATTAAATTTTATAATTAAATTAAAAAGTTCTAAATTAAATACAAATATATAAAAATAGTACCTTGTAATTGTTCTTCTAAAATTTTAACTTTAGTTTCAGTTTCTTGTAATTTTAATTTAAAGATTTTCATAATCTAAAATAAAAATAAAAATATTAATTTTATTATAAATTTATAAATAGATTAAACTAATAATTTCATATAATTATAAATAAACTATATTAAATTTTAAAAATATTTACTATATTATTTACCTTTGAATGTAGAATGAACAAATTGTTGTTTAAGGTTTTCATTATCAATTACCGATTTCCAGCCACTTTCTGTTAATTCATACCAACTTTCTCCAATAAAACCATATGTTGTTTTTTCATTATTATAAACAAATAATGTTCCCAAAGGTTCTTTTTTTAATAAAGTAACGCATGCAGATAATACACGTTTTTCTTGTGCATTAGACATCAGAGTTAAATTTTTGTAAATACATATCTACATACGTATGTACTAATATATATATATGTAATATCTAAATATAGATATTGATTTACATACATGTTGTTTTAGATTGGTTAAAAAGGACTGTGATTTCTAACATGATACAATTATAAAATATATTAATATTTGTGGCAGATTAAAATGAAATCAAATTAAAATGAAATGAGCGATAGTGTAAAATAGACAAGCCATCGAAAAATACAAATTTTTGGGATGTATTTTTTTAGCATTTTTTTAGAGTTAGGATTAGGGTTTAGAAGCAGATTTGATAATAAACAAGTATAAATAGGTTTTAGAGAGTTAAATAGAAATCTCTCATTTCATTTTAATCCAATTTCATTATGATCTGCGATAATATTTAAGTAATTCCTTTTATTTTTAATTTTTAAATTAATAATAGACAATTTTATATATAAAATTAATAAAATTTTACTCAAATTTATAAATATTTACTAAATATTTTTAAAATAAGTATAGTGTATCTATTATAAGTATTTAAAGTATATAAATTCAAGTTTATAATTGTGAGATAAAACTTATTAGAGTAGATTTATTGATCTGATATGAGTGCGTGAGAATAAAAACCTGGAACTGATTATAATGATTTACTATGATCAGTTACAGGTTTTCATTCTCA